AGTAGCTGAAGCAATTCGAAATTGCTGACATACTACCCCCAAAGAAGTCTATATTTTATTGTAAAAGGGAGAAGTTTAGAATTTCAAAGCAGAAGGAAACAATTTCCGAAAAGACCTCCAAAAAGCTGACAACTCTAAACTCAGCTATATCGCAATACCACCCTTGCCAAATATATATTAAAAAAAAAAAAAAAACAAAAAAGTGCATTTGTACTTCTCTGTTGGTTACTCTTACTTAAAGTGTGTATGTGTGTGTGTGTGATGCAGCTGTTAATATATGTTGGTTTAGTTGCTATAGGAGGAAAGTATCATAGAATCACAAGGTTGGAAAGGACCTACAAGATCATCTAGACCAACTGTTCCCCCACTACCTATTGCTACCACAAGCCTCTAAACCATATCTTATAGCTCCTCATCCAGATACCTCTTGAACACTGCTAGGAAATGGCCACTCCACCACTTCCCTGACCAGGCCAATCCAGTGCCTGACTCCTCTTTGAAAGAAAATGGTTTTTCTTATGTCGAATCTAAGCCTCCTCTGTTGCAGCTTGTGGTCATTTCCTGGGGTCCTGTTTGTTACCTGGGAGAAGAGACCAAACCCCTCCTCATCACAACTCCCTTCCGGAAGTTACAGAATGCAATGAGGTCTCCCCTGAGCCTCCTCTTCTCCAGACTAAACAATCTCAGCTCCCTCAGCTGCTCCTTGACCCCTCACCAGTTTCGTTGCCCTTCTCTGGATGCACCCCAGGGCCTCAATGTCTTTCTGGTATTGAGGGGCCCAAAACTGAACACAGTACTCAAGGTGCAGCCTCACCAGTGCTGGGTACAGAGGGATGATTACCTCCCTGCTCCTGCTGGCCCCACTATTTCTAATGCAGGCCAGGATGCTGTTGGCCCTCTTGGCCACCTGGGCACACTGTCGGCTCATGTTCAGCTGAGCATCAACCAACACCCCAGGTCCCTTTCCTCTTCACAGTCATCCAGCCACTCATCCCCAAGCCTATAGCACTGCATGGGGAAGAACAAGTGCTGAACTAGCTAAGACACCACAGTAAGGAATAGACTGCTGTCTTTCCAGGGGTATCAGCTCTGACGGGGGAGCTCCTTGGTGCAAAACAGAAAAAGTAGTCATTAGAATAAATTAGTAAGGGGAAAAAATCAGAACTGAAAAATTTCCTGCCAATAGAACAGACAGCAGCCTCTCTAGAAGTCCATAGCTAAGGCTGTGTTGTTCAAATTATTATTATGTTAGACTGAAGAAAAAAAAAAAGCTTTCAATCAAGGCTACTCCTTTAGTGGCAGAAAATTGAACAGGTTACTGTTTTATATTTTCTTCCCAGGTATTATTATCTTCAGCCATGCGTCATCCTCCTATTTCTCCATGCAGCATGATTGGTTTAACATGATTTAGAAGACAGATGAATGTTCAGTATAGTGATTGCTCCAGCAGGCTCATGGGCTGTGCTTAGGAGCTGTGGGAAAACTCAGAGCTTATTTAACACATTGCAGAATTACTCTCTTAAGTGGATTTGTTTTGTCAGGAGCAAAAAGAAGTTGTGTTTTCTGTTTTCAGACACTGTCAACTTTTAAAGTCGTTGCCCCTTTTCCCCAAAACCCAACCAGGTTCTGATGCACTGAGATTTGTGTTTGCGGTAAATTGCAGGTGTTTGTACAAGCTGCTTGTAGGCCTCCTTCTGTGGAAAGAAAAAAGGAAGCTTTCTTGTAGTTCCAGTGAATCTGAGAGCCAGTTCAGTGGGATAGCCTGAGTTATGCTCTGCTGTGTAGTATGACCAATTGGTTCTATCTTTGAAGATGAAGTCATACAAAAGCACAGCAGTTTAGTTCTTCTATGCTTCATACATTTGCTGACTCAGATTTTAGTAGTAACATTTCATTATGTAGCTACAAAGCATTCTCCTATCTTTAAGGGTCATCTAGAAGACTAAACACAACCGAAAAATGTTTGCAGACTACTGAGGAGTTAGAGCTGACCTGTCAAAGTTGGGAACAATGCTACCTTAAAGTCCTTGACTCAACATGTATATAGCTTTTGACAAGAGGTATCACTCAAGGAGAGAGAGAATTTTTTGCTAGAAATGTGAGGTCTTTCAAAGACAGCAAGTCATTCTGCTGCAAGCAGAAATGTATTGTGGGTAGCGGGGAAATGAATCTTTTGATTATGAGCTCTTACTTAAAATAACATCGTTGCCATTCCCTAGGATGGAAAAAATAGCAGCTGACTCCCTCTGTCTCAAAGGAACAACCAAAAAAAAAAAAAAGCCATCAGCATGTTCTGCAAATATAGATGAGAAATGTCCAATATAATAACCATAAACATCCTGTACAAATATAGGATTGCAGTACTAACAAAGTAGTGTAAATGCTGAAACTGTAGTACAGATAAAAAAATCAATCTCTGTTTTTCCCCAGGAGTGTAGATCTATGCTGAGTGCTGTCTCTAGGTACCTATCACCTTTCAGAGTGAGCTTGTGTGGGGAAGGGCGGATGAGGAGTGTTTTTTGCCAGTAAGCAGCACATTATAAGCATTAAAAACACCAAATATGAGATTTATCTCACTCATCTGAACTAGCTGTCAGCAAAAAGGCCATTCTATTTTTATGTTTTATAAGTCAGAGATTTTAAGAGCTGACAGTCACCTACCTATTACCTAAAGAATCTTATGGCATTCAGTTTGTTCTCAAGAGCACTAAAAGAGCAAACAGCAAGCAGAACAAAAAGGCATGTGTATTTAAGTGGTTTGCCAGCATGGAACCCATAGACTCTTCCAAAAAAGACCATGTTGCTGCACTTAGTAGCATTTTGTAACATATAAACTTGTAAATACACAAAATACATATTATGATGTAGTTTTCAGTCTGAGCAAATACTATATTTCAGAAACAGGTGAACAGAAATTGAGCAAAAAAATAGCAGTATAACTCCTGTGTAAACATTCCTCCATCCAAAGGGCTTTTTATTGCTCACGGGTGTTAGAAAGGCACCAGCTGTCGCCAAGCAATAAGGAGTCGTCAGCTCAGTATTACCCCCAACATTTTTGACCCTACGGGATAGATTTTCAGTAGGTTTTCAATCACACTTAGTCTCCTACTCTCTCTCTGCTTGTCTCTGAGCTGTATGCCTATCTTTTGCTATAAATGAAGTGAGTCAATCATACATTATAAATGCTGATTGCAGCCCCATTAAAGGTTTTATATGTAGATATTATCTACATAAATAAAAAAGGTATGATCTATTCAAATGCAGCTGTCTTCGTTTGGACCATGCACAGTTAAATAAACACACTCTTATTCCTGCACTCTGTAACAGAAACAAAAAAAAAACCACATTTCTGTAGCTGTGATTTCAAATGTACAGTGCCCAAAATGTTATGTTTGCGAAAATTTTGACGCAATTATGAACTCAACTTCAGAGGCCGCTTATTTTATAATTGGGATAGGAATTATACTCTTCTGAAAATCTGTCCTTTCTCTGGGATGCTGAGCCCATCCAAAAACTGATACATCTGATTCCTCATAGTTTAAGAAAAGCACCAAATTCAGAAAGGACCATAGTGCTAAATAAAAAGCTCATTTGATTGATTGCTACTGACTGTTGAAGATATACCTGAACAATTACCTTCTGTTAAACAGGAAGCTAATCAATACTAGCAGGTAAATTAAATGCTGGATAACTCCAGCAGAATTTGAAGATGCCAAAAAATATTAAATAAACATGTCTGGAAGAAATGTGGCTCTTTCACAATACAGTGAACAGCTGTAACGGAAGCAGCCATGTTTGTGAAGTGCTGCACTTGCTGTTGATTATAAAGGGACCAATGATATAAGAGTGAATGCTTCTTGACTGAGACCGATAATAAAACAGCCATGCATTAACAAGGATGGACAGTTTTGGTAAGGTTCAGTTTCGTGGTTCATTTTCAAAACTTCAAGAGTTTCAGGCACTTTTTCAATTGATCATTGCTATGCTATTGAAATCAATGACTTGTCACCAGTGGCTCTGTGGTGATGCATTACATTTTCTCCATCTTGGTCAGAATGGTTGATTTCTTCTTGTTCAAAATCATTTCAGAAAGGCTATGTAATTTATCTGTTTTTATTATTTAAGCATTTTTCCTCTTTTCTTTAGAAAAGCCACACTAGAAATGTGTGATCCTTCACATCCATCTATAAATGTGCTCCAGTCTTACGATGCTTTATTTGGAGTCCTTTTTTTAACTGGAGCATATATCACACAGTAGAATAAAAATCAAAGCGCATGTGAGGAAGCAATGAATAAAGCCACAAAGGACTTACAGCCAAACTAACAAGCAGAGCAGGGAAAATCAAGATGATGGTGATCTGGGTCTGAACGTTCATGACTGTTTGAGATTGCTTAATCTTAACCTTTTAACATCTGTGTCTTTTTTTTTCTTCTTCTTTTCAGTTAACATCCTTTTATTTTTCCTCCATTCTTGAAAAAACTTTGGCAGCATAACTTATCAAAAAGGCATTTTACATTATTCAAGTTATAAATTTCATCCCGGTTTTTCTCTTTCCTTCACTTCATAAAGTGAAATAAATGAAGCCTACCCCAGCACCCATCAAATTCTGACTAGATCAAATTGATCTCCAGACTAGGCTCAATTATTATTAAAACGGGTTTTCTTATTAGAAAATGGCACATAGTGTTTACACTTCTCCTTCTCTTACTGACTCCTCCAATTTATACTGAAGATTAAGGGTATGCAAATATGAATAGTCCCATCGGAAATGTAATTTATTTACAAAGCACTGAAAAAGTAATGCTGAAACTCATTTGAACAGTCATTAATACTTTATTTCAGTGTTTAGTTTAGTTTAGTTTTGTTTTCCTTTTTTTTATTATTATTATTATTATTTTTTAATTTGCTAGGTAAAGGAATTTTAGTGCCAAATTTGCAATTCTTTACTGTTTAGAATCATCCACATTACCAATTTTTTTTTTTTTTTTCTTTTCTCTAGGACATTGGCTTGGTTGTAGGATTTATTTATCTGGCCAGACATTCTTGCCACCTTACCCAGAACTCCACACATGTAAAAAGTTGTTTTAAAAGGAAGTCAGTCCATGTGAGTATGAATAAAGATCTCAACCACTCTATAGATAGGTCAGCATATCAATGTTTTTTTGGAGAGGACGTGTAACTTATTAACTTGGGTTACATCAGGCACCGTTTTTTCTTTTGAGTTACTTTTTCTTGTCACTAACTCCTTCTTGACAACATTTCAAAGCAGCCAAAATGTTCTCTTGACCCTAAGGGAAACACAACTAGTGAGGAAACCTCTTATTTTATTCTAGCGTAGATTAGTTAGATGCTGCCAATAGGTAACTCTTCAAAAAATGAACTGCAATGCGCTGATAAGAATCTTAGGAGCTGGAGTAGCTCAGCTGAAGTAAACAGCATAAGGTGGTGAAGTTGTTCTTGCGAGTGACCCATTTGGCTCATATTTTCCTTTGTGCATCTTTCAGTTTAATGAAACTGAAAATATTTAATCAAAGTTGCATTAGGAAAAAATCAGCCACTCTTCCCAGTTTTGTGTCATCAGCAAACTTGCTGACAGTGCACTCTATTCCCTCATCCAAGTTGTTGATGAATAGATTGAATAGTATGGTCCCAGTACCGATCCCTGAGGGATTCCACTAGACAAGGCCTCCAACTAGACTCCTTCCCACTGATCACAGTTTCCTTCAGCCAGTTCACAATCCACCTCACTACTTGATTGTCCAGACCACACTTCCTCAGTTTAGCTGCAAGGATACTGTGGGAGCTGGTGTCAAATGCTTTACTAAAATCGAGACTGACCACGTTCACTGCTTTACCATCATCTATCCACATGGTTATGTCTTCATAAAGACATATTTTATTTTGACAGGCTACCTGTTATGTCAATTAAGCTAATGAAATTCTCTCCTTAGACATTGGCAGTAAATCAGAAACACATCTGATTTCAAGACAGACCTGCAGGAGCAAGTCAGAATTACTTTCCTACTATCCTGATCTGTTTTCATAAATGTTTTTAAAGCACACTGATGTTGAGAAAGTTCCTGCCATTGTATTGACTAATCAAAGACTACTAATACTGCTTGTCAGAGCCTTAGTTACAATATAGCCAAATATAAATATTGACATTTGATAATTTTCGCTTTCTTTAGCAGCTTTGTGTGATTTTTGAAGACATTCTACTGCGTTAGGACACCATTTTGCTAAGTATCCTCCTGTATTCAGTACAGAGGAGATTGTTTTGGAATTGAGTTGTATTGAGCTACGGACTGTACTCCCACTTCCAGCATTCTTAGCTATTTGCTTATCTCAGCAATTTATTTCTGATCTATTCTTATTTATTTTATCAGTGTGAAATGATAAATGGCTTTGCTGCCAGAGATTCCATTTGCGTATGAATTCTTTACTTTCATTTCCTAAGTTTGATTTATGACTTGCTGTTGAACCTTATCATTTTGCCTTGTACTAACTGTGAATTTGAAATAAAGCTGTAGTAATTTGTCATCTTTTGCTACATAAAGCTTTCATTTGTTGTGAAATACATAGCCTATAGACTGACAGTCCACTCCGCCAACTAATGACAGCTAATGAAGCTAATGAATAGCTCTAAAGTCTGTGTGTGCAAATACAGGTCTCCATCATAATGGCTGTGCTGGGTTTAAACTTAGAAGGAGTTCCTAAATGAGAGGAAATGTAGAGACGCTTTTATAAGTCATGTGCTTGCAGAGAGCACCATTTGCCAATTTTTCTTGGCTGCAAAATACCCAGCATATGAGAAAAAATTCACCATAAACTCCATGACAAAATTTCTTTTATATGTTTGATACAAAAATGTTTTCTTTGAAAAGAGCAAAAATTTGGTCAACCTAAAAACTTTTCCTACATAAGTAAGAAAATGAGTTGCTTAAATATTACAAATAGCAAAAATCACTGCTGTAAATACTGTAATGCAGCATTTATATAAAGCTGTTTTGTACAGCTTTATATAAATGCTGCATTAAAAAAGCAACACACAAAAGAAAACAAACACCAAAAAAAGAAAACAAAAAAAACCAAACCAAAACGAAAACCCACCAAACAACAAATCTCTATGCTGGAGAGGCATCATTACATTTTTAAAGTCAGAACCTTTCTTTCAAGAGTATGTTCCTCCGTGTTAACCTCTGTTTTATCCTAAGAAAATTTATTCTGTGATTTCTTTTTGATTTCTTATTTGGATGGGCTTTACTATTAGGCTTATTACTTTGATAATAAATTGCATAATAATCTGGAAAAGCAAGGCCAGACAAACAGAATGAAGAACAGGACAAAAATACTGGTCCGTTCATCTAAAAATCTGAGATCGTCATCAATATTTTATAACTTTAAACTCTGTTAGAAAGGATTTTGTAGAAACAAAAGTCCTTGAGAAAACTTTGCTTAGTAAGCAGGTATAGAATTAAGAGAAAATAATTTGTTATAGCAGCTATTATTGACCCTCTTACTGAACATAATTATTTCAGAAGTTCTGTATATTTTAATGGTATTTTATTCAGCTATAAAGCAGTCAGAGAAAATGATACAGATTTATTTGGAAATTACTATCCATTCAGTTTTTGAACAGCAGTTTTCACTTTTGTTGTATTTGAGATCTTTGTTCCTAGCTGTATACCAGCACGTTAAAAAATGAGAAGGTATTTACAGATTTCCAGCACTGTTGCAGATTTCTCCTTCACATGCAGACAGTGAGCAGGCTTCTCTCCTACTTGTCAAAAATAGACTGTGAAAATCATAGGCTTCTTGCTGAAGCTTCTTTCTTGTGCCTTTGAAAAGGACTGAATTGGAACCTGTTAACTCAGTGACAACAGTAGCTGGAAGAGGAAGTAGAGTGCAAAAACAGACCCAAACCAGACAGGGAAACTCTTAACTGTGGTTTGCCCTTAAAATCATGCTGAAGTCATTCTTGAAGAGCCGTGACAGAGTACTACTGCGCACATGGCTTCTAATATATACCCCTTATGATCACTGTGCCCCAAAGGTCTGTACTTGAAGAGCAAGAAGCTCTCTGGTTCAGTATTCAGTAACCATGCATCCATGCACCATTGTCAAACTACTGCTAAAATTCAAAACTTAAAAACAAACAAACAAACAAACAAAAAAACAGAAAAATTCTCTTTCAGTGACTGGTTTTTTCTAAAGTTTTCAACACATCATTATGCTCTTCTCTAAAATGCAGCAAAACGTGCATTTTTTCCCTTTCTTCTCATTAGAAAAACATTTCAGTCAGTGGCAGTTCAGTTGAGGTGTACCTAGGTCTAGCACAGACATATTTACCATGTGTTTAGTTGAAAAAGAACCATGCTGGGCTTTTCAGTTGCACCAGATAATCCTCAGAGTAGCAAAGATGTTGTGCACATTTGGACAGGATTTTCTGCAAGGTAAGAGAACGAGGCTGATCAGATCTGACAGTGCCCAGTGGGGACAGGGTAAATTCTTGGACAAAAGTAGAAATTGAGAATTAGTTACAGCATAAACAAAGATTATGTCTTAAAGCACCTATCTGTTTTTCACCAAAACAGGTCCCTGGAGATGTTTCCCTTCACCTTTGTTAATCACATGCAAAGGACTGGAGTTAGACAAGCAGATAGCTGATCTTTGCTGGCCACAAGCTATTGCTTCAGGTCTGTACTGCGGTTGCTTCTTCAGCAAATCTGTTGAGCTTATTTCTTTATTTGCATTTAGTTCATTGCTACTATCTGTTGGATTATCTGTTTTGTTCTTAAAGAGTGCTAGGATATTTTTGATCCTGCATATTCCAGACATCTGGACAATATTAACCACAAACAATTTGGGTGCAGATGGCGATTTCCTTTTCCAGTTTTAGATTAATCCTATATATATTTTTTAATTAGGGTCACGTATGTCACATGTCACATAAATACCACAGGGAGACCTTCTGTCTGTGCCAGAAATGCTGAATCAGGACCACATTAAAGGAGGCTTTAATGACAGAGAGCACATGGCTTGCCAATGGGCAACAAGGCAATCAGATTCTGACTTTCGGCCTCTGCATGGGTCCAGCAGCCAGCCTGCCCAGAGCAGAGAACAGTCTGAGAAGAGGCACCAGGACATCAACTGATTCTGTTTTATTATTGCCCAAGATTTTACTTTGATCACTGATAACAATAAAAAGGGGAGGGGGAGGTTAAGGTCTAATTTAGGGGAGGAAAAAGGCTTCAACAGAAGCAGGTGTCATTGCAGTACAGGGAAGGTGCTAGACAGCATTTTATGATGTTTGCATGGCAGGTCTCTCCATACTATACTTGAATCTATTCTGTTAAGGTGTCAAGAATCTCAATCAGGTCTGATTTACCCTTCATGAATGTATTTTGGGATGGCACAAGAGGCATGCACATGCCATAAGAATTGTACATGAATGTATATGAAAGAGTTTGAAATGCCTGATAGTGTGGGATACAAATTTTGTGCTGGATCCTTATGATTATTTTTTTTTTCTGCTGGACCAATTTCCTTTTCCTGCATGGTTGTTTCTTGAGAGCAGTGCTGCAAGATACGTTGAACTTCTGCTTCCACTTATGAACTAAGAGGTTACATACAGGACGTCACAAAGGAATATCAAGCCTTAAGACCACATTAACGTAGAGTCTCAGTGTAATGTAGTCTCAGTGTAATAGTACAAAAAATTTACTTCTTAGCATAGCTGCTTTTTATCTTTCCTGTGGTCCTGAGTGGAAACCATTTACTCGCATGAAATCCCTCTGTCACCATGCCCTGAGTGCAACAGTTTTTCTCTGTACAACCACTAGCCTTTCTGGTATATTTCTATATTTCCCTCCTGAAGCGTAACATTGTAGGAGGGCTGGCACACATGCGTTTGTCCCCTGAATTCCCAGGAGGTGAACTGTAGGTATAGCAAAGGAACCATAATGAGGGTTTGCCTGAACACAAGCCCAGGTGTCTCTGCTGATGTGTGACCATATTGCTGCCAGGCATGCTTGTATTGAGCGAGGGGATCTGTGAAGGTCTCCCTGTGCCTATAGTCCTGCTGCGGGGTTAGCAGACTCATGGGTTTCAGTGTTCTGTCAGCGTGGAGAGCACTGCTGTCCTCACTGGCCTATCTTCCATAGCTGTAACAGCAGCTCTCCCTCCCTGACTCATATTTCAGATGAGTTGAGAAAGCATTTAAGAGTTTTAATGATGACAATAAATGATCCCAATGGAACTGATACGCAAATCTTTTTCTTTAGTACATTGCTGAATCAGGTTCTCAAGTCTCATTTCTGACCACAGTGGTAGAAACACACTTATACTGTCACTAGTCACTTCCTTCCACCAGACTGCAACTGAGAACAACTAATGCTCTCACGGAACACTGCGAGTTCTCCAGCTGAACATTTCTGTGCTTAGTAAATATGCTAGTCAGTTGCAAAGAAGAGTAATGAATCCTTAAATGTACATGAGAATGATTTATGGTATAATGTGAATTTACAGCCCATTACAGGAAATAATTACATTCCACTAATTACAGAATTTAATAGTCACTCCAGCCTAGCAAGCAGCAGTATGAGCAAGCAGATTTGCAGCAGTGCAATCAGAAATGTGAACTACAGGAGAAGCAGGAGAATTTAACTGAAAATCAGGTGGCCTTTAATCCTACCTCATTTCAGAGATTTATTTTTTGAAAAATTTGTTTTTTTTTTTTTTTTTTTTTTTTTTTTCTGGTCAACTTTTCTGAAACTTAAAGGAAATGGAATCCTTATGGAGACTGACTCAAAATGTATTAAGATTTTTGCTTAATCAGTCTTTAACTCCAGCATGTCCAGCATATCCAGCTGATAAGAATTCTTTGGGAGGAATAAAAAACCTTAACTGCATCATGGCTGGCTTTTGTGTTGGGATGTGTTTAATCAAACAGAAAAATCAACAAGGCAAATTTTGGTTTGAGAGAACAGCATCTAATGGGAAGAGGAGCATGTTAACTGAAATGAAGAATTTTATCCAGCTTGTGCTATATTATTTGTTGGTCTGAGAGCAGTGCAGTGGGAAAAGCCACTCACTGTATGTATGTGTTCTATTTAACCTTCAAAGTGGCTCTTGTGGTTTTTAAGAATAGCCTGTTGATAAATATTCATTCTATGTTGGATTCAGGAAAGTAAAAACATCTTTCACTGACCAAAAAAGTTTGAACTTAACAAGATTCAGATGGGAAGAGCAGATTGTAAGCAAATTGTCAGTCAGTGGGCATATAATGAGAGTGTGTTGCAAAACTGTTATTTTCGTATGTGTGCATGTTCCAGAAGAGATGTTAAGTGACAATGCTGTCCAGAGTTGATGAATTTTCTGGGAGAGTGAGATAACTGCAGGAGCACAATCAGTTAAATAAGGGCTCATTTAAACACAACTACAGCTTTTCCTTCTGTAACTTTTCAAATTCAGATCAGTATGAAACCAGAAATGCAGAGCGTCAGCTAGTAGTCGATACTAGATTCTCTTCTCATATTCACAGGGTTGAAAGGGATGCTCTTGATCTCAACAAGACATAGCAGACAAGAAACGTAGTTTCTTTCAAAAGCATAGAACAGCAAAAATCTTTGTTTGTGTTTCAAGTCATAAGAATTGTGTTAAAAATTAAGTTCTTCGATTTGTTCTGTTTGTTTTGCAAAGATCTAATCTGAAATTAGAATTGTGTTACTTTTTTTCCCTTTCTCTTCTTGAACATTTTGTTAATTTGAGATGGTACTTTTTTTACACTGTTATTTTGGAATGAAAATACCCATGCTTCAGTGGCACTGGGCCTCACTGTTTAGTCCTAGCCAAGCTGGTTGATCTAAATATCTTTCATGGAGGCTTACAGACTGACATCATATAAGCTGATAGATTTCTCTCAATAAAATGCACACCAGCATTTTGAAAAACTGATTGTTCTTCTATCACAGCACTGTATTACTTCTTGAACTTGAATCTAATGTTCTGGATTTTTAACTCAGGTCCATCTCTATTTTGAATTATGTGATAAAGAAAACTGAAGGAAGGTAGAAGTGGAATCATATTGTTTTACCAAGGAAACGGTCAATAGCGATTTGAGGGGTTTGTTTGTTTAGTTAGGGATTTGGTTGATTTTTATGCTGCTTTCTTGGACTATATAAAAGGAGATTTTTTTTTCTGTGTCAGAAGGAAAGATGTCTTGGTAATTGTGTAGAAAGCATGCCTATCAAAAAAGTAAAGGAAATTCTATTTTGTTCATGTCTGTAAATGTCATGGATCTAACTTCAAAGGAATTGAAAAAGCATGAAAGCAGCATTAGGTCCACAGTGTGTGTGTGTGTATGTGTGCGTTTACTACCCTCCACATTCTATTTGTCTTCCAGAAGTCTTCACTCAGCATTCTCTGCCACCTTCTACATGCCTAACCTTCTTGCCTGAACGTTATCAAATAAGCACAATTGTCAAAAATTATCTACCTATAATTTACAGTTAATGAATCCTATTAATACAATTCTGTCACGTCCCATGATTTATAGATTCTATATGAAAAATATACTAATTTCCTTTTCTACCTGCTAATATATACACATGCTGAAAAGGCTGCAGTTTTCCTTCTGCACTGTCTAGCATTGTAAATTTTGGAGGTTGGCTGTTTGGTTTGGTTTTGTGTTTGGTTTTTTTTTTTTTTCCTTAAGGAGCCTTTCAAAAAAGAAGTAAAAATGGTGCATAGAAATCGGGAAGGTATTTAGTTGTAATTGAATTTCTGTTTTTTAAAGTCTAATGTTATCTTTACTAATAGCTATACCTTTCCAGGATTAAAAACAAAACAAAACAAAAAAAACAAAGACAAAACAAAAAAAAAATAAAAAAATAAAATAATAATAAAAAAAAACAAAGCAAAAGTGGCTTGGTTTCTACCTCTGTTTACAGTCTGATTGCATAAAAATTCAATATACTTGAATAAACATGTTTATTCACTTAAATAAACATTTGCAAAACAAAAAGGCCAGATCCTGAGTTTCCTAAAGTAATTTGAAGTAGTAGTTTACACCATCTGGCCATAGATTGGCAGTTCATGACTACCTGGTGCTTGAAATTGAGACTGCTTGTAATGACAAGCATGGAAGGCCAAATAAGATTATCACAGTACAATGTAACTTTACCACAGACTTCCAAACTGTCATTTTGGTATGCCGAACTTTAGAGTTCTTGATATCAAACTCTTTATATTCATTTAGTGCTCCATGTGATAAGCTCCACCTTCTTCTTTTGGCAGATTGTGCAGGTGCTCTGACCAGGACAGCCATTTAATCATACTCACAGCCAATCTTTTAGAAGACAAGCCTTTGATGATTGCATACTATCAAACCAGAGTTCAATATTAGAGCAGCATGGACACACAGTTATTAATCAAATATTAATTAATTACATTTATGAGAATTACTTTCTTTCTTTTGTGATCTTATTCTTAAACCTCTACTGCAAATGTAACCACATCCGCAGGTCTTGTATTATCATAATATATGTTACCAGATCCTACTTCTACTCAAGAATGATTTGATGTTAATCTCTTATATTAATGTTCTTTGTACTATTTTGTGGTAAGACTCAGAGCTGCTGTGCCTGAAGCTCTTCACAAATGCATATTTGTTTGTGCTCACACACACAACAAATAG